CAGCGTGTATCCCTGATTGCCCTGGAACTCACAGAGATCCACCTGGGATTAAAGGCGTGCACTGCCACCGCCCCGTCCTAGAAGCAGCCTCTGTGGTCTGACTACAGGCTGTACATGAATGTTGTTTCTTTTTATTTTTCTGTGCAGCAGTTTTTTGCAGCCGAGGATATCTTGCATGATTTGTATATTTTCTAGAACTCTTAGAAAGATTGCCAAGGGGGTCTAGAATCTCTGCCTGTTTGTGACCCAGCAGGGGAAACAGACAGACATTCAGGTGGCTGCAGCAGGATGTGTTGTAGCTGGGGAAGACCAGTGGATGCATGGCCTTTTGGGATTGAGACAACTTCAGGGGATGATGTCTGAGCTGAGATGGGAGGAAGGGATGGGTCTTGCAGGCAGGGAGAGGGATGGAAGAGCCCTTCCATCAGCTGGAAAGCTCCCAGTAGGCTGGGCACTGGGAGACGTTTCGTGGCTGCCGTGTGTGGAGACAGAGGGAAGACATATGCAGCTCTCTCCCTGGGGAGAACAAGGCTCGCCTCACATGGGTCCTCTGCCTTTAGGAGGAGCCCAAGGCCCGGAAGGTCAGAGACAAGGTGAGAGACCATGGAGCCCAGGGCTTTGTCCACAGGGTACGGGTAGACTGCAATGGACCAGAGAACAATAGAGAGGGGACCCAGAGCCTCCTGACAGGCTGGATGTAAGGGGAGAGGGAGCCGGCAGCAAACATCTGGACCCCACCCATGCAGCTGTTCATCTGCCTCAGCCCCCCCTGGCCCAAGTCCTGGGCTAGCATCGATGTCTCTCGTGGCTTGATTACCTAAAGGGCCCCTTGAGATGACTCAGACCAGCCACAGGCAGCCAGAGCCACTGCCAGACGGGCAGACTCCCACCCCGGCAGCCTGGGAGGGGTCAAGGGAAGCCAAAGCCTTCATGGTGCTGATAGAAGGGTGAGCACCCTGGCCCTGCCCCCAGGCTCCCACGGGAGCCGACACCAACAACGTGGGGTCCTCTTTTCAAAGCACCCCTCCTCCTGCGTGCCTGTCTCTTTTCCTCCCCTCCCTCACCCCCGGTTCCTCTTCTGCATATTTCTGGCTTGCTCCATCATGGCCTCTGCTTCTTATTTTCCGGGATGTGTATAGGGATTGAGGTGGGGTCTCATGCAGCCCAGACTGGCCTTGAACCCTTGATCCTCTACCTCCATCTCCCAAGTGCCAGTGTTACAGGTGTGTGCCACCCCACCCGGCTGCTGTCTCCTCCTTCTCTGAGTCCCCCGCCGCCCCTCACCCCCACTTTCTGCTACTTGGTTTTACATATTCCTTCAAAGCAGCCTTCATTGATGAAAACCATTCAGTGCTTCCCCCCCCAACCACCCGGGGGGGAAGGTCAGGAGAGGGGCCTCTCAGGGCCTACTCAGTGCCACCTGGGACTAGCATGGCAGCCAGCAATTTCAGGCTCTCTGGTGTGAGCCTCGCCTCTTCCCTCCCTCCACTCTTCCATATCCAGCTAACTTCGGGGAGCCAGGGTCTTCATTTGAGACGCATCCAGCAGGGGCGGTCTTGACCTCACTGGAGCTGGGACGTGCCCACCTTCCCACACTGCAGAACACATTTCTGGGCCCCTGGTCAGCAAATAGCCTCCTGACCAGCCTTGTCACTACTGATTTAGAATTTAAATCGGGTGGAACCTCAGTTAATGTCCCTTCATCCCAACTTTAAATGACACTAAATACACCAGCCACTCAGCTGCAGTATGGATGCCCAAAAGGCTCTTCTCTCCACTCCTACAGCGGATGCTACATGATGAGCATCCTCAGTCCACACTTGCAGAGTGGCACGAAAAGAGAAAGAACCCCGGAGGGCAGCTAGGTAGCCGTGTGGAGGATGCAGGCCAGAGGAAAGACCGAGGGAGAAGGGAAATGGACGTTGTCTATCTCCACCCCTCCGTAGTTAAAAGAGCACATTCCAAGTCCTCCTGTTCCCCCGTCTTCCAGATGGAGAAACTGAGTCCGGAAAAGTTCCCATAGATGACGGAGAACCCTCCAGTGGAGACGAACTGTCCCACCAGGCTTTCTGGTGACTCGTGCTTTGTCTACCACCCTTAAAGCCCAGGCTGCTCCTCTGGAGGGTTCCAGAGAAGGGCAGGAAGCCCCTCAGTTCTAATTTATGATTTCCTGACAGTTTCCTTCCCCTGCCCGCCAGCCCCAGCTGGGTGAGAAGAGCAGGTTCACTTCAGGGCAGCTGCAGCCTGTGGGCTGAGTTCACCCAGCCAGCCAGCCGGAGTGCCTCCTTCGCCCAGCCCCTGGACACAGCCAGTCCTCCCCAGCCAGAGGTGCGAGCTGGCACTTTCCCAGCCTGGAAGGATCTAGAAGGCCCTGCCTTTTATCTGAGTAGCCTTTGATGGCAGATATATGGTGCCTGAACGCCTGGGGCTGTGGGCATGGATCAGATCTGCCAGGGCCCTGTTGCTGGGCACAGGGCTTCAGTGCACCCTGGGCTAGGAGGCTGTCTCATGGGACAAAGTGGGGTCAGGAACAGTCCCGAGCTGAGGTCCAGCTGGAGTTCCCAGGGGAAAGAGGCCATGACCCAGGTTTGTTTGGGACAAAAGCATTTCCTGTTTGGACAAGGCTGGGTGGGTGGTTGTTCCCCACACCCCATGGCCAGCTCTAGGAGGTTCACGTGTGTGTCCCCTGTGATCCAGGTCCCTGCATGTCTTCTCCAGTCCAGATGGGAGTCCAAGTTTGTGCCAAGTCCCCTCACCCCAAAGAAGCCTCCTTCAGGACTTGGCTGGAGGAGGTAATACCATTTGATTGGTAACACAGGGTCCTACCCCCCACTCTCCAGCATCCCTGAGGTGTCCCCACACCTGGGGACAAATTGCCCACTCCTGGTTGGCAGAAGCTTGGGCAGGAGACAGAGCAGGCCAGCTGCTTAGCACAACCTGGCCTGTGGTCAGCTGGGAGTCTGGGGGGACAGCGGGAGCTGCTATCATTGCTAGGAGTTATCAGGCAAGGAGATCCGGGATTGGCAGGCAAGGAGACCGGGCTGCTCTGGGGAGGTTTCAGCCGTAGGGACAGGCCCTAAAACATCAAGCCAGCACCAGCAGCACATACACACACACACACACACACACACACACACACACACACACACACGGAAACCTCCAAAAGCCTCTCCCTGGAGACACATCCTGCCTCTCTACACCTCTGTAGAGAAAACCAGAGAGCCTGCTGTTCGCCCACATCGGTTTCCAAGCTCTAACACCTCAGGGAAACCAAAGTTCTCTCACTTTCCCAGAAGAGGGGAAGAGACTTGTCTTGGGTCGGACGGCTCTCGGTGGGCACAGAACAGCCTGGTTGTGTTATAAATCAATATTCCAGACTCTGCCTTCCCTGGTGTGAAATGTTAATAATAGCTCTTAGGAGTCTCATGCTGGGAAAGGGATCTTCGAGAGCTGCAGTGTTTGGGGGGTCATTTAAGGAATGTGGATGTCCTAACTCACAGGAGTGTCTCAGACATTCTGCTAATAGCTGCTGGGCCTCCTGGCTGCCTTCCGCCGTGTTGAAAGCACTGCAGCATGCTCTCCGCTGTGCCCCTGGGGTGATGGAGTTTGATCCCGGCCACTTGACTGGGACCTCAGACAGACCTGGGCCCTGCAGTGGGCCGAGCATGTAGGGGTGGAATCGAGTTGCTGATCTGCCTGTGGGGACATAGGCAAGATGACAGGTTCAGTTCCCAATACTGTACAAAATAAGACAAGCAAAATCCCCAAGGCCTAGCCAGTGAGGCAGGGGACTGACTGATTTAGTGTCAGAAGACAGCATATACCAAGTGCCAACAACCTCAATGAAGGAGACAGACACCCCTTTGGGGCAAAGTTAGGCCTGTGGTCATGCCCTTGGAGGAGGCTGAGCGGGCATGAGAAGTAGGGACATCATAATCCTGCCCAAAGACCTATAAGGACCAATCAAGAAACTGAGGTTCAGACACAGGGAGACTTGTGTAGTCAGTGTGGCCAGACTGTCAAGAGACAAGGTCTGAACTCAGCTTCTACTCTCTGGCCCCTTGGAGACAGGGATGGGGCTCTGTCATCTACTCGAGACTCCGGTTATGTCTGGGTCCTGACTCTAGCCCAGGAGCTGCTCCAGGAGAGGCAATCCAGCAATCAGACTGTTTTTGATTCCCTCAGAGATGGGCAAGCAACCAGGAGATGGCCCTGGCACAGCTGATCTGGGTCCCACGCAAGACTGAGCAGGACAAGGGTTCTCTGCTCCAGGCTGCTCACTCCCACCCCAGCCCCAGGTGGGGACAGACACTCTTCTGAGAGTTCCCTTGATAACTCTGCGCTCATCAGGTAGCACACACTGCTAACAAAAATACATACTAGAGCTGGGCACAGTATCAAACACCTTTTAATCCCAGCACTCAGGAGGCAGAGGCAGAAACAGACAGATCTCTGTGAGATGAAAGCTAGCCTGGCCTACATAATTAGTTTCAGACCAAGCCAGGGCTATATGGAGAGACCCCATCTCAAAAAAGAGACAAAAACAAAACATACTCTATATATATATACACACACACACATACACATGCATATACAAACAAGACATGCACTCATACAAGCATCCCACACGTACACATACACATGCCCACCACCCAAGCACATACATCGTGCATTCAAATATGGCAAATGTAAGCAAACACTGCCCGTGCACACACAGATGCAGCACATGACATGTATATGGCACCGTTCATGCACAAGGCATCATGCATACACACAAACATCGTATCATATCTGCACAGGATACTGCTCACACCACACACACACACACACACCTGCTACGCCTCACGGAACATGCTTGAGTCCCACCCGGACCCCTCCACTCTCAGCCCGACCTTGCTGTACAGAATGGGAAACTGAGGCCCACACCAGAATGCTGCCTCTGCTTGTGCTTACGAGGCCCCCGACACTGAGCTGCGAGGGTTGGGGCCCTGAGGCTGACTCTGCGGGTCCCCTCTCTGGGCCTCCGTGTCTTCACATGTAAAGCAGCCTGGGCCTGGGCGTCTTCTGCGTCACTTGGACAACTTTGCCGGCCCAGCACAGAGTGATGAAAAGCGCCAGCTCGGACAGGATGTGCGGGGTGAGATGCCCAGGACAATGGCACAGCTCAGAAAGCCTTTGTTGGGTCGACTGGGCGGATCCCGCATGTTTCGGGTTCCTCCGAGATGTCAGAGCAGGGTGCCTCGGGGCGTGACTACTCGGGAGTGGTGGGTTCGGGTCCTGGCAGCGTCCGGGGGCCGCGGCCAGGGCCTTGGTCTCCCGGTCCGTGGAGCAGGTGGGCACCTGGAGGGCGTCCTGGCGGGGGCGCGGGCGGCTTCCGGGTTGGCGGGGGCGGGGGGCGAGGGGCGGGCGAAGCCGAGCGCCCCCGCCCTGCTCCGCCCGGAACCGGCTCTGCGCGACCGCGGCAGCGGCGGGGACGACAGCATGGGCGGCCCGCGGGCCTGGACGCTGCTCTGCCTCGGGCTCCTGCTCCCGGGAGGCGGCGCCGCGTGGAGCGTCCCGGGCGCCCGGTTCTCGGGTCGCAGGTAAGTCTCCTCTAGGTCTGTGCAACCCCGGGACAGGGGCGGGGAACCGGACCCCAGCTCCGTGCAACCCCGGGACTGGGACGGGGAACCGGACCCCAGCTCCGTACAACCCCGGGACTGGGACGGGGACCTGACCCCAGCTCCATGCAACCCCGGGACTGGGACAGAGAACAAGACCCTAGCTCCGTGCAACCCCGGGACTGGGATAGAGAACAAGACCCTAGCTCCGTGCAACCCCGGGACTGGGATAGAGAACAAGACCCTAGCTCCGTGCAATCCCGGGAGTGGAGCGGAGACCTCTCTCCCACATCGGTGGCAGTCCCGGACTGGAGCAGGGGCTCTCATCTCCATACCATAACGGTGGGGGCGTGCTCTGGAGAGCCTGCTCACCTACCCATGTAGGAAAGGACAGACAGCCTCCCCTGCTCCACCCCTGAGATCCCAGAGCCACCAGAAGGTAAACCCATGCCATTGTAACCAACCACCCCCCCACCCAGGACTTCTGTGGGCCTGGCCCAAGGGACCCCGTTCCTGCACATGTAAAATGCCAGGGTCACCCTTTCGCTAGCCCTTGAGGGGTCCCCTCCCCTTTTCCCTGTTGCTGGCTTTTTTTAGTGCCCCATCTATTTATTTCGCTTGGAGGAAGGCCTGGGGTGGAGTCTGCGCAGTGGGTCAGTGTCAGAGGCCCCCCTGGGACCTGGCATTTGGTTAGAACTCCCAACAGCCTGTGACTCTCTGCCGGCCTTTGTGGAGTATTTCCCAGAACAGGGTCCTGTGGGGCCTCTTCTAGACAGTGTCTTTCAGGACTGAAGAATGTAGGAAAACCCGCCCCCATTCAATAGAGGAGCAAACTGAGGCCAGTGATGGCCCATAGGCTATGAGTGGAAGAGCTGGCATTCAGATTTGCCTTCTGGTCTCGATGGCAGAGTCTGAACCCGCCCCGGCCCCTGCTCTGCCTGCAGCCCCTGGCCCTGTCTCTGCGACAGACCATGTGGACTAGCCAGGCCTCTTGGGCCTTTCAGCCCATTCAAAGGCCTCTGAGGACCCCGACCCCCTGCGGACTCAGTTCTTTCATTCTTTTCAGAAATGTCCCTTTCTCAGTGGTCAGAGGCCAGCAGGTCCCCGGGCAGCTAGCGAAGCAGGTGACCTGAGTAGGCCCAGAGGGTAGAAGCCGCTGAGGCATCAGGGGCCGGAAGAGCAGTCAGTTGTCTGGGATGGGGACAGCTGTGTGGCAGGCGTCACAGCACCACCTACCGTGTGCCAACCACAGCTGGTTTGGGTTGGCACTTTTCCTACATCTGTTGCCTCTCGAACCTTCCCAGCTGCCGTCCCAGGCTCCTTCTTCTTGTGGTCTGTTTCACGGAGAAACAAAGGTTCAGAGATTACCTGTCCCAGGCCGTAGAGCCAGCCCCCAGCATCCCAGAGGCTGACGTGAGAAGGATTAGGAATTTGGGCTTCCCAGAGTCAGACGGGGTGATGGATGAGAAAGCTTATGGCCATAGTCCCCACCAGCCAGCCCAAGGCCACACCTTCCCAGCTGTCCTCCACATCCCCGGGGCTTCCTGGGTGGGAACTTTGCCTGTGGGCAGGTGTCTGGCCTTCACTAGGGTCTGCTTCCCGTCTCTTTACAGAATTCAGTCACAGCAGTCTGTGTCACACAACCCTTCGGGCAATGTTCTCACTCCCATTTTGTAGACACAGAGAATCACGGCCACGGGCCTCAGTTTCCTCTTTTGCTTGTCTTGTGTTTGAAGGTCTGTTCTGGGAGTGAAAACCAGTGCACATGGATTCCCGCTGTGAGCAGCTTTCAGTAGGGTAGGGACCAAAAACTCGAGTTAACTGTGGTCCTGGCTGCCAGGACTTCTCCCTCATGGCCCTGTCCCAGCATCTTGGAGACAGCATGGGGATGTCGCGCCCCGTCAGCCCTCCCTCCACTCCCAGCCAGGCGCCCCAGGCACCCCTTGGCAGCTGAGGGACTGAAGGCAGAAAAGAGGCTTTGTGCCTGAGGAGGGGGTGGCCTGGGAAGGCATCCAAGGGGCCACCCCAACCCCAGGAATGTGGCGAGACTCTGAGCCCCCTACAACTAGGGTGCCCAGGGGCTGTGCGGAGCCACCTTGGAACACGTCGATGCCGCCAGTCGGTGTCCCCTAGAAGGACTGCTTCCTGCCTCTGTGCCGTCCCTCCCAGCCTCAGCCCTGTTTCTCTGAACAGCTCCTGCATTCACAAATCCCAGTTCTATGCCCACATGGCTAACCCCAGGCAGGTGCCCTCTCTCAGCGCCCTGGAAGCCCCTGACCCCCTCCTTCTAGGCTGTCATCAGCCATGCCTGTCTGTGATACCTCAGGCCAGGAAGAACTGACCCCAGGTAGGGCTCACTAAGCTAGAGTAGAGCTATTCTGCTCTCCCCATTTGCAGATGGGCACAGCAAGGTCGGAGCCAGTCAGGACCATGTCCAGGGTCACTGACAGCTGTAGGAGACTGCATCACAGTACTGGAGCTGCACCCTGGTGCGGTTCGGGTTCTGGCTCTTCGGCGTCACCCCACCCCCACTGGCCTGTCTCAGTTCTTTCCTCTCCTTTTCATAACGGCCCTTGGCCCCCGGCCCGCTTGGCTGCCTCCTGCAATTAGTTCCTATCGCTGTTCCGGATCACAGCCCTGGGCCCTGTGGAGACAAAGTCCCCTGGGCCCCTCGACACAGGGAGTGGAGGGCGGGTGTGCAGGTCCACTGCAGAGGACCGCCACCGCCGGTGCCAGGCCGAGCTGGTCTGGCCTGTTTTATTCCCTTCTCAGTGGCCTCTGGAGGCTCTGGAGGGGCTGAGTGGGCAGAGGTGGGGGACCAGGAAGGGATGCCTTGTCTCCCCCCAGCCCTGCCTGTGACCCACCTCACGGCTCAGCCTCACCTGACTCCTGGGCACCTTTATCCCTGACCACACCTCGGAAGGAAGTCCTCAGGGATGGCAGGGTATCTGAGTATTGCATCTCTCTCTGAAAACGTTGAGTTTTGACTTCTTTGCCTGGGCTGCTGTGTTCTCGGTCATGAAGTCATTCAACAAACACTTCTGAGCAGCCCTGAGTTGAATTCATCCCAGCACTCATGGAGGAGAGTACAGCTCAGGGCTACTGTGCATGGCTGAGGAGACCTCAGTCCTGCCTGGACCTTGGGGTTAAGACTCAGAGGCTGAGTAGGAGTTGCCAGAATAAGGAAGCAGGGCTCTAACGATAGATCCTGAGCACCCGAAGTGGGAAAAGGGCAGCATGGCCCATGAATGCTCAATAGATGTGGGCAGCCCGAAGGACGGAAGGAATGGAGCTTGCAGGACATTGGGGGGTCATGGTGGACTTTGGGGTCCATGGCAAGCGGTGACCATATCCAATACATGCTTTGCAAAAAGCTTACAGGGACCACTGAGATGGCTCAGCAGGTAAGGCGCTGTTGAGTTCCCAGGACCCACATTAGAAGGAGCAAACTACTCCCACAAGTTGGCCTCTGACTTCCATACACAAACTTGGCATGCACACACACACACACACACACACATGAACACACATACACACATGCATACAATATGAATGTACATGCACACACAAATGTACATGCACATACATGCATACACATACATACTTACATGCACACAAATATATGCAAATGCACATGCAAACATATATACATATACATACATGCATAGGAATGCATACAGTCATACACACACACAATACACACACACACACACACACACACACACACACACACACACACACACACACACACCAAACCTCCTGCTATTTCTGGAAGTGGGCAAGGGCAAGGCTTGGGTTTGTGCTCTGTTCCCTGAGGCCGACCACCAGATAGAGGAGGCAGTCTGCTGCGGACCTTGAACTTCACCTGGTTTGAGTGTCCTTCCTGTGTAAAAACATCTGGCCAGCTACTGGCTCCAGATGTCCCACATGGGATTCAGACCGAGTTTGGCAAATAGCTGGGAACAGCATGAAACGGTTAATTAAGGAAAAAAAAGAAGCTCCTGTCCCCTGCCCCCCAAAAGAATACCTGAGATGATCGCAGGGTTTCTAGGACTGCCCCTAGCCTAGTTCAGAGCTGGGTGTGGGGAATGTTCCTGTGCATATGAAGTGTGGCCGTGTGTGCTTGTGTGCACACACGCCCTAACGCGTGTGAGCCCTGCCGGGCCTGCCTCTGCCAGTGTGTGTGTGTGTGTGTGTGTGTGTGTGTGTACATGTGTGCATGGTGAGACTATCAGGCACTAAGGTCAGAGGACATGACCTTAGTCTGTCTGTCCATAGGGAGGGAGTGTGTGTGTGTGTGTGTGTGTGTGTGTGTGTGTGTGTGTGTGACACATTTGCATGGTGGGCAGTCTTCAGGAACATGTGAAAATGTAAAAAAAAAAATTGTTAAAAAATGTTTAAAAAAACAATGAGGGGACAGAGCCCCAGTGATCACGCCCTGCTCCATCTTGTCCCTGCCGCTCATTCCCTGCGGCCTCCCGGGAGCCCGTAGCATGGCCACCCATCCAGGGCCATTGAGGTCACTCATGAGCTGCAGGCTCCGTACAGACTCCACCTGACCTCCAGTGTGGGCCTTGATCTGCGCATACAAGTCCGTGTGTGTTGTAGGTCTGTGCACGTCCTCACCGGCACATTTCCAAGCATTTGTAGGCACACATGGCCTCGAGAGTGCTTCCACCAGTGTGCACACCAGCATCCCCATGCTGAATGTGTGAGTTTCAGTGTGTGTGTTGGTGTGATGTGTCACACACGTGTGTGGAGATCAGAGGACAACTCTGGGGAGTTGGTTTTCTCTTTCCACCTTTATGTGGGTACGAAGGATTCAACACAGGTCATCGGGGTTTGCCTCTGAGCCATTTGCCATTCTATATTATTTTTTCTGAGGTGGGAGTCTTGTTTTGTCGCCTAGGCTGGGCCAAGCGATCCTCAGCCTCAGCCTCCAGGGTACACACAGTGCAGGTCAGACCACCGTGCCTGGCTAGGGAGCATCATCAATGGAGCCATCCGTGTTTCCCCCCACTCCCTGACGCTCAGACCCCTGTGGTTAACCCCCATTCCCTACTCCCCCTTATCATGTAGAGTTAGACCTCTGGTTTGTGTTGTCACCATCTGTGTGTGTGACAGGTCAGATACCGCCTACTGATCCCGATGCTGAGCACCTGGAATGTCCCTGGCCCCTCCCTGCACCCAGCAGCCCCCTCTGTGAGGTAGTTAGATGGAGTGTCTAAGCACAGATGACCGACCCATCAGGATGCCGAATTGCACACACTGGGCACTTAATATATGCTAGGGGCATGTAAATGGTTCTCTACAAAGCCAGAAAGACATGCCTCCATTCTAGAGAGGAAACTGAGACCCTGGGAAGAGAACACAACATGTCACCAAGCTGGGGCCACAGAGTCAGATTTGAGCCCAAGAATGTGGCCAGCCGGGCCTGGCCTTTGACTCCATTCCGGGGCCTTGGTTCTCATCTCCTCCATGTGTTGGTTGAGACATGGTTGGTGGCTCTGTGAAGGCACCAGCCTGGGAACCTGCTGACCTGGGGCTCAAGGCCATGAAGGGTAGTCTGCAGGGGAAGACAGCCCAGGCTGAGAAAGGCCACCTGACACCATCTCCTCCTTCCTGAGCCCCAACAAATTACCCTGGGCTCCTGACCTCAGGCTGGGCTGAGGGCTGCTGAGCACCTGGAATGTCCCTGGCCCCTCCCTGCACCAGTCCAGCAGCCCCCTACCCCCACCCAGCTGCCCTAGCTCCACCCACAAGGAAGGGAAAGTCTCAGTCTGTGAGGCTGAGGATGTTCCCTTAGCCCTCTGGCCAGCCAAGGGGAGGAAAGTCCAGGGAAGGGACAGTCACGCTTGGCAGGAGCAGGGAAAGTGAATATTGTCACAATGCTGGGAATGGTACAAACCTGGGACCAGCTTGAGCCGCTACAAGACCATGGCAGAAGGCTAGGCGTCCATAGACTAACCTGAGAACCAGCTGTCACACACAGCCCAAAGCTACAGAGCAAGCGCCCTTCCAGACAGGGCGAGAGCTTGTAAAATGGCACATGCTTATGGTCCCTGAGTTAGGAGGCAGAGACAGGAGGATTGTTGGGACCAGCCTGGGATACTTAATGAGAACCTGTCTTAAATAAACAAAGAAAAATAAAGTAGAGAGATAGCCAAGCCCACGCTCCGCTTCCGCGTCTATGTGGGTAGGTGTGCACCACCCTAGGGTAAACGATCCGGGTCAAACCGCCACCTCTGGGGCTGGACGCTGTCCATCTCAGACACTGGAGGGAGCCGCTCCTTCATTTAAGTCTTGCACCCTGATAAAAGTGCCGCTTCCCACGTGGGGAGACCGGGGCTCTGGAGTTGAGTGCTCTCTCTGTGGGTGGTTGTTGGACAGGGCCTCAGCGCCTGCTGACCCCAGAGCTTGCCTCTTCACCCCTGACTGGAAATGTTTTTCCTGAGAAATAACTTGGAAAAGGTATGCTTCTAAAAGGCTTCCACTGGGGGCGGGGGGTGCCCAGTAGCTCAAGGTTAAAGTCCAGGAATGAGGAGGCAGAGCCTCGATGGTCACGCCCTGCTCCATCTTGCCCCTGCCGCTCATTCCCTGAGGCCTCCTGGGAGCCCCTAGCATGGCACCCATCTAGGGCCATTGAGGTCACCCATGAGCTGCAGGCTCTGTGGAGACCCCAGCTAAAGGACACAGAGAGCCCAGTGGCTTCCCTGCCTAGAGTCTGAGGGCTCTGGAGAACACATGGTCCCCTTCACCCAGCCTCTCAGAGTCCTGGGCCTGCCACTTGAGCGTCCTGTCTGTGGGTTTTGTCTCAGGAACTGGTGCTCCTACGTGGTGACCCGTACTGTCTCCTGCCATGTGCAGAATGGCACCTACCTCCAGCGAGTGCTGCAGAACTGCCCGTGGCCCATGGGCTGCCCTGGGAGCAGGTGAGTGGCACTGTGGTGGGGAGGGAATGCTGGCTCTTCAGGTTGGGGCACAGTGAAGGCCTGAGTGATCTCAGGAAGTCTGGGGGCCTCAGGATAGGTGAGACAAAGGCAGGCATTGTGTAGGGAGGAAACTTCAGGGCCTCTGCATGGAGGGATCGTTCTAGAGCCTAGAGCCGTGAGCAGCACAGTCCAGCCAGCAGTTGAAATCCAGACCCCATGGCCAGGGTGGGGAGTAAAGAACTAAAGCCAGGGATGGAGGTGGAAGATGATGTCACCAGGGCACCCAGGGCAGTGGGAAAGCTGGTGGAGGACTGTCTGAGCTGGGCCACCTGGCTTTTCTTTCAGCTACAGAACTGTGGTGAGGCCCACGTACAAAGTGATGTACAAGACAGTGACTGCCCGTGAATGGAGGTGCTGCCCTGGACACTCAGGGGTGACCTGTGAGGAAGGTAGGAATGCCTGGGACCTGGGACCTGGGACCTGGGACAGTTTGTGAAGTGCCTCCCATGCAGATGATGCCTTCTGTCCCCTCATGGCGACAGCTGGCCTCTAAGGGGCCCGGGAAATTTTCACATCTGCTGTGTCGTCTCCTTTTAATTTTGATATCTGTTGTGTCGCCCTCCTTTTAAGTTATGCGTCCCAAGTCTTTTCTTCTAACTTGTGTTAGCCAGCTTTCCGACGATATGACAAAATACTTCGTGCAATGCATTTACATAGCAAAAGGGTTTATTCTGCTTCACGTTTGGAGCTTCTAGCCCAAGACTGGTTGGCCTTAGGGCTTTGGGCCCACGGGCAAGACAAGACATCATGGCAGGAGTACATCTCATGGCTAATGCAGAAAAGGAGTGGATGTGGGTTCAGGTTCTAGTGCCCTGTATATGCACATTCTCAGTGGCCTAGAAGTCTCCTGCTGGGCCCACCTCCTTCAAAAAGAGTTTCTTGTAGCCACGGTTAGTCTTGAACTTCTTTTTTCTTTTTCTTTCTTTCTTTGTTTCTTTGTTTCTTTGTTTCTTTGTTTCTTTCTTTCTTTCTTTTTGTTTGTTTGTTTGTTTTTCAAGATAGGGTTTCTCTGTGTAGCTCTGGCTGTCCTGGAACTCGCTCTGTAGACCAGGTTGGCCTCGAACTCACAGAGATCTGCCTGCCTCTGCCTCCCAACTGCTGGGATTAAAGGTGTGAGCCACCACCACCCGGCTAGTCTTGAACTTTATGTAGCCAAGGATAACCTTGAACTTCTGATCCTCCTGCCTCCGCCTCTCGAGTGCTGGATTACAGGCGTGTCCCCGTGTCCCACCATACCCAGGTGTTTCATGCATGTGGGGCAGACATTCTACCGACCGAGCGAGCGACATCCCCAGCCCACAGACCCACCTTTCCAAGGGTAATCTGATAGTGCTACTCTGAGGACCACAGTCTGAACATCTCAGCCTCTGGGGACCTCCAGATGTTCACCATCCAAGCTCTGCACTGGGGGACCCCATCCAGATGTTCCCACAGGATATCAAAGCCTGAGCCATTCCTTTGAGCCAGCTAAGAAAGGACAGTGCTCCCCACCCTGCGGCAGGAGAGACTAAGACCCCACAAGCTCATGGGTGCTCAGAGCTACATGGCAGAGCTGGAGCTCAAACGCTCTGCCTGGTTCTGTTGTCTTGGGTCTTTGGGGTACACTCATGTGCAGAATGTGTCCCATCTAGGGGGACCCTTTTACACACTGTCCATCTGCATGTTCAGCTTGGGGTGGCTCAGTACTGGAGCCTGCAGCTCTCCCTGGGCCTTCCTGCCTCTTGTGCTCCAACCTGCTTTACTGCCTGGCTGAGCCCACAGCAGCAGATGTGAAAGAACTTCATTCCCAGGCATGGCCCTGGCGGGGATACAGTGGCCCAGAACCAACCTGAGACCCTGGCCTTAGAGAAGACCCTACAGCACAAGATTGTGTCCTGGGTCCCGAAACAGGGATATGAAAGTGGACCTCTGCACCAGGGGAGCTGAGTGAAGCCCCCCCCCCCCCCCCGCCCCGCCAACTCATGATGGAGAAACCGAGGGCAGAGAGATGGAGTTGTGGGCCCAGAGTCCATTGTGAATGGGGTAGGGCTCAGCGATAGGGTGCTTGCCTAGCATATACAAAGCCCTGGGTTCCAGCCCTAGCATGGAGCTGTCTGTAGAAGATTTGCAGTTCTGAGGCAGGGGTCTCGAGTGGAGCTGCAGAGAAATGGGGTGCATGCCCTAGATCAGGCACCCTGCTGGGGGAACCATGCAGTCAGTGGGAGGCTAGAAGCCTGGACCGGTGCCTCCCCCATCAGTGGAGAGAGTGGAAGGGTTCCAAGGGTAAAGAAAAGCCAGCTGCCAGGGTGCCGAGGAGACCACAGGGGTACTGTGGGCAAGTCCCAAGGTGTGGGAGCTCAGGTGAGGCCTTATCAGACAATGGCTACTGTGTCCTTGGGGCCTTGATGAGCAGGTGAGGGTAGAAGACATGTAGAGGCAGCTGCTGAGGCTGTGTGCCAGACCACTCCCAATGTCTACCACTCTCTCTGTGGGGCCTTCAAGTCCCAGCCTGGGCACAGGGTACCCAGGGCTTCCTGGCCAGGCCGGCTTCACCACCCACTCGCTGTGGAACCTTGAGCTCGGAACTCCCCAGGCGTTATACAAGAGCCCTGGCCTGGAGGACTGAGTCCATGCAGTGTGCCTGTTCAGAGTCAGGTGGGGAGAGGTGGTGGCACACACCTTTAACCCCAGCACTTGGGAGGCAGAGGCATTCGGATCTCTGAGTTCCAGACCAGCCAGGACTGCATAGTGAGAGCCTATCTCAAAACAAAACAAAAGCAGAGTGTGTGGGGGTCTTCAGTAATGGGCACCAGCCTGTCGGGTGCACTTACGGCAATCTAGGCTCCCCGTCTGAACCTCAGGGTCCGCACCCATGAGACAGTTGAGTTTGAGATTGGAGTCTGCTTTTCCAGGTGTTACTGGGGTGAGGTGGTGTGTCGGGCTTCGCGATGGCTGATGGGACAAGAGGGCTGTTCCCACCTACAAGGCCGAGGAGAACAGAAGCCCGATCCAAATGTTCTGGAAAACTGTTCTGGGAGTGGGGATGGGGGCGTGGGGACACTGCTGGCCCACCCTGGCCTCTGCCCTTCCTCTCACGGCTGGATTTAGGCCATGCTCACCCAGCTGCTTCCCCTGATGACGGCTGCTCCTGTGGCCATCCCATAGCTGTGACACGACCCACAGCTTCACCGCCAGCAGCAGCAGGGACTGGAGCAGCCACAAAGGAAAGGGAACGTTGCCGTTCCAGATTTTTTTCTAAGGGCAGGGGAGGGGACAATTGTGCCTGGCATCTTTCACACACTCCAGATAAATCTTTCTCTCCCCTCTGTGCTGGGGGCACCATGGTGACCCAGCAGGTACGGGGACCCATTTCCTCAGTCAGCGGCTCAGAAGTGAGTGGGATGGTGGGATGGGGGCGTTCATGCTGTGACAGTGAGTGAGGACAATCTCGGTCACTGCGCAGGACCACCAGTGGGGTCCCATGTTACACAGATGGGGATTATGAGGCTCAGAGAGGAGAAGGGACCAGCCTGGGGTCACACAGCATGTAAGAGCGAGGGTTGAGATTCACCCACCTTTTGGTCCTTTCCAGGCTTTGGGAGGAGGCAATATGGGTAAAAATGACCTGGCGCAGGCTCTGCCTGGCCACCTACTTGTGGAAACAATGGATGAGAAAGATCCAAGGCCAAAATATACTACACAGGCCGGGCAGGCAGAGAGCTGGCACAGTGCCCGGCTGGAAGTGGGGCAGAGTGTAGCGGTCACCTCTGGGCCAGTGCCTGAACCTGTGCAGAGCTGACTGGGGCCGCTGTCATCCCCTCCCTGCCCCTTCGCCCCGTGACTCTGCTGCAGGGCTCCCTGCAGACCTACTGTCCACCAGTCCCGTAGTCCAGATGATAAAAATAAGGCTCCCAGAGGGTGTGAGTTTTGCACAAGGTCACAGAGTATGTTAGTATTGTGACCAGGTTCTCTCCAGCAGCATCCTGTCTCAGCCCCTCCTGCCGTGACCCTGACAAGGGGAAGGGAAGCCACCAATTTCCTCCGTCATCACAGCGAGGCTCAGAGAGGGGAAAGCTGTGGGCCCATTCAAGCCAGGGCAGGTTGGCCCTGGAGTAAGGGCTGAGTTCTGCGACGGCACAAGGAGCATGGTCAGACAGGTGGGGTGCCGTGAGGCTGGTCTTAGCACCCCCAGATGGAAAGGTGGAGATGTTGGGGCTCACCCTCCTCTGTTCATGGGTTCCCAAAAGACATGTGGCGTCTCTTCCTTGGTTCACTGCCTTCCAATATGTATTTCTCTGCCCTACCTGGAACCCCCCCAGCCCTGTCCTCCATGGTGGGTACCAGAGATGGACATTGCTTGAGAACGAACAGCCCCAAGCCGGGCGGTGGTGGCGCATACCTTTAATCCCAGCACTCGGGAGGCAGAGGCAGGCGGATCTCTGTGAGTTTGAGGCCAGCTTGGTCTACAGTGGCAAGATCCAGAACAGGCTCCAAAAAAAAAAAAAAAAAAAAAAAGGAATGCACAGCCCCAAAGCCTCAGAGCAGATGTGAGACAGGTTGAGGCCTCACCCTTCCAGGGCCCCTCAGCTTCTCCACTCTCTAGGGAGGGCTGGGTACATCCCACGTATTTCTGTCTGTGCCAGCCAGGTGCCAGGTACAGAGCCAAGCCTCTGCTTTATGGGCTCAGAGTTCTGAAGGCTAACTATTGTGTCATCCCACCCATGTCTACCACCCATCCTCTCCCATTCCTGTCCAGAAGACTCAGCCAATCCCACCTCCACGCTAATCCACCAGGGCACTGCCCTCCCACATTCCCGTAACACCCAGCTTCACACGCACACACCCTTTACCCTGCGCTCCACTGGCCTTCTCCCTGCCCTATGGCCTTGGCAGTGGCTAGCTTATCTGCCTGTGGCCACCTTGGTGCTCCTAGGGAAGGCTAACTAAGCTGGCCCCCTGCCAACATGACTCCTTCAGCTCCAGTGCCTGGGATGCGCCTGGCGTAAAGTGAGCATGTAAAAATTGAATGAAACCTGCCCACCTTGAACAGGCCAGGAACACAGCAAGCTTTCCCAGAGGCCCCGTCGTTGGGCTGGAAGGTTCTTAGAGCTGAGAGCCCCAGCTCTGATCCTAAGCCCTGGCTTAGGCCACTGGCTGGTCATCCACAAATATTTACATTTACAAAGTAAATTCACACAGGAGACATGACCTAGCTAGGAAGACTGTGGCCACGTGGTCGGTGTGGTCACGAAGCCACATGGGCCTGGGAGGTTGGATGTGAACAATCCCCTCCCCTGGCTCTGCTCTTTAGCAGGAAAACTCACAGAGTTGAGGGAGCCCAGAGACCCCCCCCCCAAACTGCTTCCATCCTCATTTCCAGTTTGGGGAAGGCTCGGAACCCAGCCCAGCC